ACATGTAAAACAAACTGTATTAAATCATGCCATATTTAATTATAAAATAACATGAAATAAAGTATTTATTTATCTAATTGAACTATGACATTAATTGTGTTATTCTTTTTAATTAAGGCAACTTCGTTACGTCATTTACACTCCCACCAAATCACTCATTAACTCAAATGTGGTATTTTCGTTCAAACAAAATGCAAAGAAACAGTCAAGTGTTTTCAGTGTGTATGACTATACTCTCATGTATGGGACTTAAGTGGCCTGAAGTAAGGTGACTACCTTATGAATAGGTCTTTCGAGGTAGACTAGTCTAGTGTGTGGTTTTCCTTTATCAAGTGTAGTGTTACTGACTAGTAACTTCAGCTTTCGCTTACGCTTCCACTCGTTTCTTGGTAGGCTGTCATCTCGCAGAATGACAATGTCATCTACTTGTGAATTCCGCAATGCCTTTGGCCATGTCTGCCGCTGTTGGAGGTTTAGCAGGTATTCTCGTTTCCATCTTTGACATAATTCATTGGCAAAGAACTGCACTCTTCTTTCTTCAAGGCTAGTTGCTTCATCAGTTCTTGGCTGAAATCCCTTGGATTCTCCTGCAAATCTCTTGAGTCTTGCGACGGCTCTCACTTCCCTGGACCAGTCAGAAAACTTAGAGAAGCGGTTCACCATCGAGTTTTCTTCCATAGTCTTGACTGTGTGAACATGAACTTTTCGAAGTTCATGATTGTTTGTTTGCACTTCTCCCACCTTCTCTTCACATGGGAGGTTCAGCTGGAAAATAAAGTCAGGTCCTTTTTGCGAGTTAGACTCTTCGAGCTGAACTGCACTCAGCCCCCTTGAGGCGTAGTCGGCTGGGTTATTTTCTGTAGTCAGTGAAATCAGACTTGAGGACTTTGATTATTTCTGTTGGATTGATCTATTTTACTTGAGTTCTGCACACAAAGTGTACTTCTCTCTTCAGCTGAATTGCTGGCTGGACAGCAGGTGTTACTTGTCGCACTATGATTCTGTGACTAGTTCCCTTTGTGTCACTGTAGTCTTTTGCTGGATTCGAGGAGCCGATGATACTCCAGCCAAGATCCGTCCGCTGTGCATATGGATAATTGTCTTCACCGGAAAGGATCTCTCTTGGAAGGAGGGCTTGCTGACAGTTATATCCGATTAAAAGACCTACTTCACAATCCAATGGTGGTGGAATCTTGTCTGCCAACTGTTCCAGATATGGCAATTTTAGAGCTGTCTCTGAGGTAGGAATGTGTGATCTGTCAACTGGAATGAACTCTCTTGTGAAAAGAGCTGGCAAAGAAATCTTTTTTTCCAGGTCATATCCCCTCACTTGAAGATCTGTCAGTTTCTGACAGGTTATGACTGTTGACTTTGTTGACATTGTAGATAGCCGCAAACGAACATTTTCTTTGTTTGTGTCAAGATTTTGGGCCACTTCATCTAGAATGAAAGTCGTGTCACTCTGTGTGTCCAAGAGTGCGTAGACAAGAACTTCTTGTTCTGGCTGTTTTGTGGATGAGACCCAGACTGGTATGATTGCGGACGTTTGTGTGCTTGGGCCTTCTTGTATAACTCTGTTGGTGGTTGCAGCGATTTCTTTGGTGTCTGTTTTGTCCTTTGAGATGTCGTCTCCATTAAAGGTTGTTGACATTTTGCCTTTGAACTTGTCGTCATGCAAACACGTTGATATTTGATATACTTTATTAATCCCCATGGGGAAATTGTTTCTCTGCATTTGACCCATCCTGTGTTAGGAGCAGTGTGCTGCCATTTTGAACGGCGCCCGGGGAGCAGTGTAGGGAACGGTGCCTTGCTCAGGGACACCTCGGTAGCACTTGGTCTTGCCGGGACTTGAACTGGTGACCTTCCAGTTGCCAAGCCAAGTCCCTATCGACTTTTCCACCACCGCCCTTGGTGGATGTCTCCTCTGACACTTTTCACATGTGCTTTTGTCATTGCACGCCTTTGACTGATGACCAGTATTCAAACATCCAAAGCATAGCCTTTCTGCATACACAAACTTAATGCAATCTTCAACTGTCTTTTCTACAAACTTTCTATACTTTGGGAGGACATGTCCTGTTCCTTTGCAGAAGATGCATGCTGGGATGCTACTTTGTGCTGTGTTTGTGGACAGTGTCTTTGCTTGAATAGTTTGGCTTCTTGTATTCTTTGTTTTTTCACTTTCGACACTCCTGATTAGGGCTGCACGGTATTGAAAAAAACTGACATCGCGATTTATCCCCCCCCCTGCGGTATATATTGCGTTTTTTTTAACCTGTTAAACCTCAAAGTCCCGGCGGGTACTTTACTTTTTTTTTTCACGACAGTGTCTCAAGGGATCGTAATATTTAAGAACCTATTAATGTGTTATACCAGATTAACGGAAATAATCTCAGCTAACTGACGATACAAACCATTTTTACCAAAACAAAACACAAGTCTCATAAGAAGCATCTAAATGACCCCTGAGCGAAAAATGCTAACGCACTTTGGCACAGAACTCAAGATAAAAGTACCCTTATTATTACTTATCGTAGCTGCACTTACAAGATATCCGATTAAAACTGAGGTTCCACAGATTATTTAAGTATATAGTATCATCACTGAGTGATCTGAACTCGGACAGGGAAAGCAAACACAGACATCACAACACGTACCTTTACGTAGCTTCTAGTGGAGATGTCTCACCGTAGCTGTCAATCTGATCAAAAGACGTGTACAATGGCATTAAAACGAGAAAGAAAAAACGCGGCTGAATCGGTTAATCCATAGGTTTTTAACGTCTGATTTAAAATGATTTAATTTATAATCCATAATTCCATTTTTATGTAAATATCGCAGAGCAAAAGTTAGCTTCTAATGGTAGCCACCAGAGTGGCTGCTGCTTCCGGTCTTGGCTATGCGGAAGTCTCACACACAAACATTACCAAATAAGGACTCTGTGATTTGCCCTCGATTCCATTGGCTCTGACGGTCAGAAAGAGATGTCACATGTCAAAATCCAGCAAGGTGGGCCAGAGATATGGAAAATCCACCCAAATGGCCCCAAAAGAGGGTTTTTTTTGTGCTAAATCTGTCTAAAAAGGTCAAATATCACTTGTTTTGCATCAATCTTGATACAGAATGATTGTGATTGGTGGTTTGCTGTGCATTCAGGGGAAGTTCTACACACACCAACACATGAACAAATAAGGAGTGAGAGTGACGCGTAGCCAAAACCGGAAGCTGCATACACTCTGGTGGCTACCATTAGCTGCTAACTTTTGTGCTCCAATTCTTACATAAAAATGGAATTATGGATTATAAACAATTGCTTCAAAGCCACAGATACATTATCAACCTATGGATCAACCGATTCAGCCGCGTTTTTTCTTTCTCGTTTTAATGCCATTGAACACGTCTTTTGATCAGATTGACAGCTAGGGTGAGACGATCTCCCGTAAAAGCTCCGTAAAAGGTACGTGTTGTGATGTCTGTCTTTGCTTCCCCTGTTGCGAGATCGGATCGCTTAGATACTATACTTAAATAATCTGTGGAGTCTCAGCTTTAATCGGATATATTGTATGTGCAGTTTCGATAAGTAATAAGGGTATCTTTACTTTGAATTCTGTGCTAAAGTACGTTAGCATTTTTTTTTTTTAAATGAATAAAACCGCACGTCCCTGCGGTGTGAATACCGCGCATGCGCATACCGCGGTTATCGCCATGACACCGTATATCGTTCAGCCCTACTCCTGATAGCTTGTATCGAGGATATGGGATCACATGCGAGATCTGCTTCCTTTGATATGAAATCTACAAACACTTTGAATGGTGGGTAACCACCGTTTGCATGTCTGGCCTCCATTGCTTTTCGGTTCCAGCCGGATACCAACCAATCTGGCAGTTTCATCAATATTTGTTGACTCTCGTTGCAGTCATTCAGTACTTATAATGTCTTAATGTGGGGCATTGCAGCCTCACAGCTCTTAAGGAAGTCTGCAAATTCTTAGTTCGCAGCCATCTTTAGAGCTCATCTTTGGCCATCCATGTAGCTTGTCTCTGAAGGACTTCCCAATAATAAATAGGTCTCCGAAACGTTTTTCTAACAGCTGCCAGGCAGAGTCATATGCTGCTTCGGTGCCTAACAGGAAGAATCCTTCTACTGCTTTATTTGCAGCACCTCCTATGTACTTTCTTAGGTAATACAGTTTTTCATTATTTTGAATGTTTTTCCTGTCTATTTAAGTTTCAAAGGATAGTTGCCAGTCTTTGAACTTCAAAGGATCTCCTGTGAATAATGCAGGCTCTGGTGTTGGAAGGTGATTTGCACGTATTGCTTCTGCTAGTATTTTAACCAAGTCAGCACTATTCTGCATCTGAGCTAAGGGCATTGAGGTTGGTAGAGCTTGTGGTACTTGCTGTGGACTGTGGAGACTATAAGCTTGACTTGCAGGTTGTAGAGGCTGAGGTATGAACGGAGGACTTGAAGCTTTGATGACTTGTGCTGTTACTGGCTGAGACTGATAAACGAATGGTGGAGTTGTGGAGTACAGAGCTTGGGTTTCTCTAGCTGGTTCAACATCATACAGTGAGTCGATTGCTTCACAATTTTCTTCTATTCGATTGTACACCTTGACTCGAGCTCTTGCGGCTTTCAGCTTTTTAACCTCTTCTAGGCGTTCAAGCTTTCTCTGCTTTTCTTGCATTGCCTGAAGTCTGGCTTGCTTTTCAAACTCAAATTTTGCCATCTGTTTTTTATCTTCAGTCTCCAGCCTTTGAAGTTCTGTTGCTTAGTGCTGGGGGGAAACGATTATTTTGAAAACGATTAATCGGGCGATTATTTTATCGATTAGTCGACTAATCTAACGATTATTTTTCTGTTGTTCGATTAATAAAAAACATAATGTATCTCAAATAAATACCAAAACATTCTTAATAATATTTTTTTTTTTTTATTGCACAGCAAAATAAGAAATATAGAATACAATTATACAAAATAAAAAGGCCAGCCTGTTTACTCTTACTGTCCAACAAAAAAATCTAGTATCTAGTATCTAAATATAGTGCAAAAACAAACACTGTGCCGTGCACAGTACAGAAATTCCTGAGTGTTTAACACAATATAACAGTCCCAACACAGAACCTGATGCACAATGAAACTGACTCTCTTAACTACTATTCTGTCAGCTTTTATTTGCCAGCTATGGCAAAGGCCTCATGTCTTTGACGATCACCTGTAAGATAAAACAAATATATTATTATTATTATTATTAATAATAACACAGCACCTTTCATAGAGCCATGTTGCTTACAGTGTAATAAGCTTAATTATTACACAATCCAAACAAGGACACAAATAAAAAGGCCAAGTGAAGAAACACCTAAAAACTAGCTAATAAATCAGGACACAATAAATGGGATCAGGACAGCCATTCCCTCCTAAAGGATGCTCAAAGGAAGCAAATAATTACTTACTCTCAAGATTATTTTGCTGAGTTCGGCTGCCTTCTGTGGAGTGCATTGCGCCTCTTTCCCAAGATAGCAAGGTGGTTCTTTGCTTTGTCCTAGAAAACACAACAGCAATGAGCAATGGAACAACAGCTATGACAGTGGGGCATATTAAATCTACTCTTAAACTCATTGTAGTGCTATGGTATAATTAGCTTACTTGAAGGCTAACGTGGTTACTTTTTAAACAATGTTAAGTCCAACAATGCATTTCATGTTTATCTAAAAGCTTGTAGAGTACTATATCTACACAGTGAAAATGTTTGGTAGTGCAACGCATATGAGCCCTATCACACTTGGATGTGCTGGTGCTCATTTTAATGTTTTCAATGCTCATAAAAACATTAATTAATTCATGACAACTGCGCACCAGCTTACGTGCAGCCCTGGCCTGGACATTGCTTGGCTCCGTTAGTTGACATACATTGATACTATAAGCTGACTAACGTTAGTCTAATGTTATGTTTGACTCGTAAACGACCACAACATGAGTTAGCTCTCTGTGCAGGTTGTTCGTTCCGGGTTAGTAGCGGCTAGATAGCGGTGTTCTGCAGACGTAAACTAGCTACCATTCCAGCCAACATTAAATGCTGACAAACGTTAACTAACACACAGCTGGCGCCGCTAGCTAGGTAGCTAACATTAACTACTAACCAACCAAGCACGAACAAACCGCACGGAGAGCTATAAGATAGTTAGCACTACCGAAGTGCACAGAACTCAAGCTGCACAACACACTACACAAACGTGGAATTAATTTAGCCAAAGTTAGTAGGCCCTACTTACTTATAATTTTTCCCTCCACGAGAGACAAGGGGGTGCCTCCGCTTTAAATGCTCCAACATCGCTGTTGTGCTAGTGTGGTATGCCAACTCCATTTGGCAAAGACTGCAAATAACAATGCCTTTGCGTTTTGGACTACATTTAAAGTATTCCCATGCTTTTGAAGACCCAGGGCGAGATGTTTTTATTTGGGGGCTTTTTGCAGGGCTTTGTGCGCAATCCTGTGAGGAGGAGGTGGTAGCCGTTTCAGTCTCCATAGTTTTTAAAGTGCGATTGCGAACTGCTTGTTGTTGTTTTGGGTGACCCACGTGTGTGTGGCGATGCGTCGACGAGGAAATATGTCGTCGACGATATTTTGAAGTCGACGCGTCGATGTCGTCGACGCGTCGCTACAGTTGCTTCCTTTTCTTGTTCACCTAAAACTGCTAGGACTTCCTGAGATGCAGCGGCTTCAGCTGCAGCTTCAAATCTTTTGACTGAGAGAAGACTAGAATGAGCAGAGCTACATTTTGATCGACAAGACAGTGGAGATAATGAAGAGTCAGTTGAGTTTAGTGTTAGAAATTAAAATCAATGTTTTGATGGCATAATGTACCTTAAATGTACCTTCAGTTTAAATGCTGTTTTATACTGAAAAACCAGACAATTATTGTGCACAACCAGTTAAGCTTTTATTCTGAAAATCCTTCATCTCCGGTTAGCATGTGGCTAGTTTACCATTTCTTATAGAGGTTAATTTAGTAGCGAAATGACATGGAGTGATGCACACAGAAACCTACTGATTTTAACACTGCAACTATAGACGTATTATTATTGCTGAATATTAAATGAAGGTATAGTTTATTTGAATAAAGTTATTGTTTACAGACGTGGGTAAGATGTGACAACTTCCGGAATGACCAGAAACCAAACCAGCCGTGAAGTATTTTCTGTATTTTTTAGAATATTAACTACAACGTTTAGAATGTGTTAAAGGAAAAGTGATGAAAGACAATATGAGGAGAAGAGGCGTGTTTAAGTATGTATTGAATGTACAATGCCTGAATCCTCTGTGTAAACGTAACAACGGACATTAAGATGTGGAGGGCCGGCCCGCAGGGAGGAGCCTGCAGAAGCTATATAAGAGCAGCACCTGAGCGGTTCAGCCTCTTTTCTCTGCTAGCGAGGGCCAGAGACAGCTGCTTTTCTGTCGGACGATATCCTGTTTGTGACTGTACCGCGTCTTTTATTAATTAAAGTACCAATTTGAAAACATCTCAGAGACTCCATTTAGTCTCCTTTTTAAGCTTCTCTTTCCTGGACGCGAGAATAACCATCACAGTTAACAATTGGTGCTCCGCGACGTGATTCTCGTTGGACAGAAGAGACTACACAACCAGCTGTTTTCCGGAGACGCGGCTTCCGTTCGACACAACGAGCTCGAATACTTGGTAAGAGGAAACCTGTTAAATCAAATTCTTCATAGTTTATGCAGTACAAAATAGGTTTGTGTTGGACGGAGGCCAGCGGATCCTGAAAATAGCTGTGTATTTAATGTTAAAACAACCACATTTATAACAATAAGAATTCCATAACACGTGGCGTTGCATTTTCACAATCAGGGTGAGTTCAAATTTCTTTTTTCATATATCTAACCCTGCATGCTATTAATTTGTGTGTGTGTAGTATTTTAAAATATAAATGTGTGTGGCCATTGTACTTTGGGTAGGTGTCTTGTTGTGTTTTCATGTAGGTGTCCCTTGTTACGTCAGTAGTTAAATTAGCCTATGACGTAAGGATATATAAGTCCATTTAACGATTATTGTTAAGATCTATGGGACATAGCGAATTGATTAAGGATCAAGTAATTGAAAACCAACAAGGCATAGCGAATCAACTTAGGGTTGAGTAACTGAAGACAGTGCTAGTCGAAAACAGTTGAGAACTGTTTTAAAAAAGTCCTTTTGAGGAAAGGCTTGATTAAGGTGTAAGCTTTATCAGTGGTCATAACTGTTCTAGTTTCAACCAAGATATTGCGGGTGGAATACGAGATGTGGAGTTACAACAGCATTACGTTAAATTGACGACGGTCATTTAATGGTCGCTGATAAGTTACCATAATACTCCCACCTAGCGTGTCGAAATGGCAGCAGTTGACCAATAGTGGACTATAAAGTCAAATAATACGTAGATAGGTTTATAGCTTATGCGTAAGGGTTCCTAACTTTAAGTGATGATATCAATAAGATAAAGCCCATTTTTTTCATAGTAAACTAGATAGAAATGTTATTTTAAACTGCAGTGTTGTTTTGTGTTCAATTTTCTTGACAAGATTACACCCCGCCATTATTTAAACTCCCCTCTGAGAGCCACGAGGTGTTTTCAAATCCCTTTGTTCTTCAGGTCAAAGGTTGGAAAATCAGTTGCCATCTTGTCTTGTCCTCATGCTGAAAATAAGCCACACGGCAGTCGCTATTTCGTGAAATGCTAATTGAAAGTACTCTGTTTGTTTTGACACACAGTCCCACTCACATGAGGCTAGGCACTCCATATTGATAAGGACAAATCATATTTATTGGCAGAAGTTGGAACTATAAAATAGACAGGTTATCTTACCGTGGGAAGTTTGGTATTTGTAGGAGTCTGGTTTTGAAAATATTGTTGTTTGCAAGTGCGTATTGGCGGTTTATTTGAGATATTCTTGTTTGCAAGTGTGTATTGGCGGTTTATTTGAGATATTCTTGTTTGCAAGTGTGTTTTGGCGGTTATGTGCTGTGTTGTTTAACCATATTCACATTTTCTTCCCATTTTTAAGGAAATAAGCTTCTTCTTGTTAAAAAGAGGTCAGTTTTGCAACAGCTATCCCTAGTGGATTAAGCTGGAAATTACAACAGCGCACTCTGCTGGTAATACAGAATTATTACAAAGATATTATAACATTTTGAAGCTTAATTTTGAGTGTTATTGATGAACACATTCGCCGGGACAGAATTACAAAGTGTTTTCTAATTAACATATGAGAAACTTTACATCATAGACTTTCAAACTAGACTGTAGAATATTCAAACACCAATTGATTAAATCTAACACAAATTATGACATTTACATAGTTCCATACATTTCAGTATGCACTGTACACAGTAGATTTAGATTTTCACAAGACTTCGATTTTCTTATCTCAAAGTCAAAAACGATACACTGTACAATTTTTATTTTAACATTTCAAAAAAATGTTATCTTTTAATTTATTAATATTTTACAAAAAAAAAAAAAAAAAACTTAAATCATAAAAAAAAAAATATATATTCGAAAAAAAAAAAAAAAAAAAAAACCTACCCAGATTTAAAGTTAAGTTCGGATGACATAGGATATTATTTATCAGGAACGAAGGTGCTAGTCGGAGGATTAGTGTTTCAATCTTTGATAACTTAATAATATTCATTCGAATAGTTAGAGAACATGTCACCAAAAGAAACTAAATTGAGACTAGACGCAGAGCCAGGCTCAACCGCAGATATCAAGGAAAGGGTAATAATCTGATCAGATGCTTTAACCTTTCCAATTAAAAGAACTATCTGGAGTGAAGATGAAGAAAGATTTATAAGAGTTACAAGTCTGATACTCCATCTGGAATATGCCAGCCTATTGGCACACAGCATAAATGTGGTCCGAGTAGCAGACCCGCCAGTGAGGGAAGACATAGCAGAAAAAACAAGACACCGTAGCTTGTAGGAACAAGACAAGGAGAAGGGAGGGGAAACTTCCAGAGAAGGCAGGGCAGACACCTCCAACAATCCAAGCTCAGGAAGAACCAGAGAATGCAGAGCAGACACCTCAAACAGTTAAATCTCAGATAGTGCCAGAGAATCAGATGCAGAACCAACAACCAGGAGGTTTCCAAGGAGGCACAGGCAGAAGACGTTTACGGTTTGAGGGATGTTACCATTGCAACCAAATGGGCCATTGGACCAGAGATTGCCCGCAACTACTAAGGCAACATGCACCAAACAATGGCCCTCCATGTAGTTACCCTGGGGGAGGTTTCCATGATTACGACAGAAGCAGGGGGTCTCAGGGATGTCAAAGACGAACAGCATTGCCAAACATGACCCAAATGCCACTGACACCCTGGTATCAACCACAACAATGAGGAAGCTCAGAGGGCCAGACCACCAGGTGATGCATCTTCAGCACAAGGGTATTTTGAAATCCAGCTACATTGAGCCATATATGTCACCACAGAAGGGAGAGGTTTAATGTAAAAACAGAATCGAGAGTAGCATTTGCATTTACACATAAAGCATCCACAGAATAGAACATTTAGCAGACTATTTTTGTAATTATGAGAAGGAAAGACATTACGAGTGATGTTGTTCCCCCACACAGAAAACTGTTGTGTCCACACAGCTAGTGAGGTCAAGACGATGGGGTTTCCACCCAAAAATATGAAGACGGAAACCTAGTACTCGCCCAAGACGGAGGATCCATACCAAATCCTCCTGTTTACACCGACTGCAGTTCAAGGGGCGGCGATACACCTGACGTGGAGCTGTTGAGACCTAAAAACAGAAACTCGATTCTGCTGTGGTGAAGTCTGGCTACAAAGGGAGGTGTCCGATAGGGTCGCTTGTCTCAAACCAGTGAAGAAGTCAACAAGAACCCAGCAGAACTAGAGAGTGACTGTTAGCGGGAGAACAGTGACAGAGCGACAGAGACTGGCACAACATTACAGTACCAGTACATAGATAGACCCCGTCAGAAGACCGGGGCTGTGTTTAAAGGAGAACTTCATTTATTGTTAGTGGAAGTGTAGTTTTTTAGTCAAACAATTATGTGATTTATGGAGTCAGATTACATTTTTCTCAAACACAATTTTATAATCGGTCTGAAGTATCTGTTTTAAGGCAATGAGCTGCAGATTAAATAACATAACACTGATTGAGAGCTTGGATGAAGAAGTTGTAGGGTTTTTACAACAGTTTCAAGAATCAGTTTTTATTTATTTATTCTTGAGTAATTTTACTGATTTATTGTGTAGTGCGTAAGGCACTATCTCATTTTGAGAGAGGGCCACCAGCCCTTCATGTTCTCCTGCATGTCACCCTCTGTGAGAATGGTTCGTATGTTTCCCTCTAGTTTAGATAAATATTATTTTATTATATCTTTGTTCAGCAGTATCAAAC